TTTTATTCCATTTGCTTAATTTACATACTTGTTTTATTTAGTTTTGTTAATTTGTTTCGCTCGGTCTCTCGTTTTAGCTTCTTATTTCATTTGGTTAGTACTGAGGATAGTCAAAATTTATACTCTTCCCCTAATGTTATTAGGGACAAATATATCAAAGAGTATGAGGTGGGTAAATCTTGCAGCATGCATGATGGAGATACAAAATTAATACCATATTTTGGTCATAAAACATCAAGACAAGGGCCACCTAGAGTACTGAGGAGCAGAAGCGAGAAGAACGTTGGGAGGGACATGTGTTAAGGTGTGAACGGGAGTCGCTCTGGACGACAAAATGAGTTTTGTGAACGTGACAATGAACTCTCCGGTACCGTACAAGCAGGGAACACTTTTAACAGGTGATAAACTACCAGATTTTCAATAAAGTACAGTACCACAACGTTACTTGGTTAGTTTATTTACTCTTTCGTTTGTTACGGAAGTTCTGTTACTAAGTCATTCAGTCAGGAAGTAAGTAGAGGAACGTGTCGCTGTTTGGCACGAAAATGAACTACTTCCTTTCAAGCAATTAGTCAGGCTCCATGCTTGAGTTGCTGAGGGAGCCGAATATTAACGGGAAATTGTGGTCATGGCAGTGAGAACCAGTTCTGCAGGCCTCCGACCCAACGAGCGGTTCTACAAGTCAGACATCGCTGCATTATGGAACGCTAAAAGCAAATGAAGGAGAAATTCGACCTGACGCTCCACTGAACTAGGGTTCATAGTGAAAATACAAACATAAACTGGAGCCGTACTTATGTATACTGTTCGCACAAATTTCGTACACAATTGTGATCACTTGCTTAAGCATATTTTATTTTAGAAAATATGTTACATGTTTGGCACTAACTTCGCCGACAAGCGGCGGTCTCTCTGTCGGTATAGTTCGCTTGCGGACTAAAGCCACAGAGTTTAGTTTCTTACTTAGTGATTTAAACACATGACGATCAAGTGAAGTATTTCGTAAAAAGGTGACGTTGTTCCATCATGCCAGCAGGGGCAGTGTGAAGGCATTTAGGAGGTGTGATTAAGCTCCATTCTTAACTTCAGCACTAGACTGAGACTTCGGCAGCCCTACACCAGGAAAGCTCCAATTTCAATTGTATCGAAGACTGACTGCGACCAAGAGTTCTTACAGATATGGAATTGAGAAAAATCCTATCTCTGTAGAGAATCAAGTTTCGACCGTGCAGCTCTTACGGGCTAAAGGTAATGAGCTATTTCCGGTCACTGTTGTGAACCTATAGTTACTTACTTACTTACTTACTTACTTACTTACTTATGGAGCTGAGCCCTTCTTGAGGAGAAGCGAAATCTTCAGTTACTCAAGAATTTCCCAGCATTTTATAGAACCCGAAGGTTCATTATCGTGTTCACAAGAACCTTCCACTGGTCCCTATCTTGAGCCATATCAATCCAATCCATACCATCCTATCCTATCTCTCTAAGATCCAGCTTAATATTGTCCACCAACCTACGCCTTGGTCTTCCCAATGGTCTCTTTCCTTCTGGCTTTCCAACCAATATCCTATACACATTCCTCGTCTCCCCCATTCGTGCTACATGCCCTACCCCCCTCGTCCTCCTTTACTTGATCATTCTAATTACACTTGGAGAAGAGTACAAGTTATGAAGTTCCTCATTATGCAATTTTCTCCAACCTCCTTTCACTTCATCCCTCTTCAATCCAAATATTCTCCTCAGCGCCCTGTTCTCAAACACCCTTAGTCTATGTTCCTCCCTTAATGTCAGAGAGCAAGTTTCTCACCCATACAGAACCACAGGCAAAATTATAGTTATATATATTCTGATTATTATGTTTTCGGACAGCAGACGAGAAGACAAAAGGTTCTGGACTGAATGGTAGCAAGCATTACCCGAGTTCAATCTCCTCTTAGTTTCCTCCTGAATCAGGTTTTGATTTGTTATCGTCGTTCCCTACCTACAGAAAGAAGAAACGGACGTGCAACTTTTCACATTTGGAGATGGCCATCCCGGCTGTGCCAGTAACGCCATCTTTCAGACATTTCAACTAAATTTCGGGAGAGTTGCAAAATACACCACAAGCCGTTCTCCAGATCCTTCACCAGCCACAACCTTCGGGCAATTTGATATCATTTCCTATGGAAATAGAAAATGTTAAGTACGAAATGAACAACACAGAGACATGACGTGCGCACGGAACAGAGATAGCGGGGTAAACAGGAGTGACGGGAGTGACTGACACGACTTCCAATTAAGCTTTCACTTCGAGCAAGAATGTATGACAATTTAGAAATGTCTCCGCTTCAACTAGTAGAAAAATATAATTCTTGAAGCTGAGCTGGAGAGTATAGTTGCGAGGCGGGTCTGACGTTGCGAACAGCTGCCACGGCGACCGCAGTTCTGGTTGTGTTCATGATTGAAACAAGTTATCTGTCAGAGAACGACACGCCCTTTCTTTGCAAAACAAGAGCCGGTGTACGTTTATAATACGGAGATATTAAACTCTGGTATATTACAACTGTAGTTTCCAAGACTACTTTCCTGGCTAACCAACAAGCCTGCGTGTTTCAGGTTCGAATTAAGTCTCTTGAACTTTAGAAGCCATTAACATGAATACCACGTCTGCAGGCGAACAGGACTGTGGACGATTCGTGATGAAAGAAATTACAGTTGCTGTGTTGCACACATTTACAGAAACTAAGAGATTTATAGTCGCGGTTCCGTTGGAATACAAAACATTTCTGAAAGTAGGTTGGCTGCTGTAGAAGTAGCATTAATCACACAGCAAACTGCTACAACGGAGGTCCCTCAAGTCATCTTGCTCGGCTTACGTTGTTATATCTCTCATGAAACGTTCATAACTGACGGACAGATTTAGTATACAGACTGATAGACCCATTTGTGCCCCGAAGAGGGAAACGGTAAATTTTTCCGAAACGCTGGTATCCATCTACCAGACTGTGTGGTGTCATGACCCAGAAGACCACAATACACGAGTCTTCAGAGCCGTGACAATCTCAACTCTAAATAATTTACTGAAGTGCCTGACAGGGACCCAGCAGGTTGGTGTAGCGAAAATGCTCTAATGTACTCAGTTCGTATCTCGGTCAGGTCACCAGCTCTCCTGATGTTTTTGACTTGCCTCAGCCTCTCTGGGCGAACGACGGGACAACAGGCCTACCTGCAACCGCCCCCTTCCTTTCTTTCTTTGCACTTATATGCCGGCTCCGGTAGCCACTCAACTCTTATAGTCTTGTGTTCAGTCTATAGTGCAACAATATTAGTTTAACATTAGTTCACACTTAATTCACTAAGAGTTAGTTAAATGTTTAAATTGCCAATAAAATTATTAATTATGCTGCATGTTTCAGCCACACAGGGCCATCTTCAGGCAACACTTGTCTTTATAGAAGTCTACTGCGCTGTGCATTTGGTCAAATTGTATTCATTAATGCATGTCGTTGCTGTTGTTATTAATTTCTTTGAATTCTAATGCTGTAGGATGATTGTCTTCTTATCTTACATATTGCGGCTGTTCTGGTGTCCCAGTGGGCGTGCCGCTCTCTCAGTTGTGTGAATCTAGCGTTCATTTCTGTTCCTTATATTCTTCTCGGGTTCGTGCCGCGGCAATAAGTGAGGCAACCGGTAGCTGCCCCTCTGAAGCCAGTCCACTGCTCCAAATCAATGATACAATAGTTTCAGTGCTGCTCTGCATTATCAACTGAAGGAGACGGATTTTCTCACTAACCCGAACGAATGTTTCCTAGCTGCACGAGGATGAGAGACGACCGGAACTTGGATCATCTTTAACAGAAACGGCGATCCTCTCAAACCTAGCAAACCACTTGATATTCTAAGGCGGCCGAGTGTTTCTTCTCTGCTGGTAGGTTACGTGGCTGTCCTTCAGTGTTTCACACGGAACTGATGTACACAATTTGTTGCGTAACGTCAGCCATATCCCATTGACTGCAAAAATGTGTACACAAAACAGACTTGCCTCCAGGCGGTGTGAAGTACTGACGGTCCCTAGGTGGGAGGGGGGGAGTGACGCACAATAAAACCAGAGGAGTATCCCTTGTCGAACAGTTCTGATACTTACATATGGCCGGGCCACAGCTGGCTTCCCATAGCAGCGGCCCAGGTTGGATTCCGGGTTTGGTCAAGTGGGAGTTGTGGTGGACAAAGAGGCGCTGGGACACGTTTCCTCCGAGTACTTCGGTCTGCCCTGTCAATGTTCATTCCACCAACTGCTCCACAATCACCCTCACCTATCATCTGGGGCTGGTACAATAGACCAGAAGTGGCCGCAGTACACGGGACTTAGTCCCACCCCACTAGCAATAAAGAAAAGAAAATATGGCCATGCCACAGCTCAGGCGGTTAGTGGCTGGCTTCCAAGGTCAGGTGATGTGGGATTTGTGGTGGACAGAGTGGCGCTGGGGCAGGTTTTTTCCGAGTATTTACATTTCCCCTACCAATCTTCATTTTACCAGTTGCTCCACAATCACTATCATCTGCCATCTGGGGCTGGTACGTAGTGGCCGCAGTACCAAATGAAATCAGTCTCGCCCCAATAATAATAATAATAAGAAGAAGAAGAAGAAGAAGAGGAGGAGGAAAAACAATCTCCGTGTCCTGTAGTCCGCAAGCGAACTATACCGACCGAGCGACCGCCGCTTGTCGGGGAAGTTAGTGCCAAGTTCTGCGGATAGAGGGTGTCACGTGGTCAGCGCAACGAATCCCCACGGCCGTTAATCTCGGTTTTCTAGAACGGAGCCGCTAATTTCTTTAAATAGCTCCTCAATTATCCTCACGAGGCTGAGTGAGCCCCGTTCCAAACCCACTACTTCTCAGAAAATCTGGTAGCGCCGGAAATCGAACCCGGGACCTCCGGATCTGTAGCCAGGAAACTGACCACTAGACGACAGAGACGGTCAATAATAATAATAATAGTAATAATAATAATAATTACTTACATCCGAGGTAGACAGCGGCGGCGGCCAGCAGGAGAAAGAGCAGAAATCCGGCTAGGATGCAGCAGCCGCACCGATAGTGGGCCCCCAGCTTCCGGGTAAAGCGAATATCACTGTCAGAAGAGAGGATCGAACTCGGAGTTTCTGAGCGAGCGAGGTGTTTGGCGCTCACCGTGCTCACAGACACCTGCAACGAAAATAATTCAAATCAGACCATCCGTAAGAGCTTTGCGCATTACTGACTTTCGTGCTCCGCGTCTTGCCGTCTCTGTGCAACGTCTTCTTACTTTACATGTTTCGGCCTAATTGCCCATCATGGGGTGCACAAGTTGATGATGAAGGAGTCTGCTGCTCATTGTAATGTTGTAATTGCCTGGGACTCTTCTAAGTTATGAGGCTTACCGTGCTGTTGCCATGCACTTGCTTAGTTTATCTGTATATGTGATGGATTGTATTACAGTTTTATTTTAAGATACATATTTATGTACTGATCTGCAAATCCCATTTGTCATACAAGAAATACATAGATTGTCAACACTCTAGCATCAAAGCACACTCGGACACAATAACAGGGTAGTTGCAGAAATTAGCAACCCACCAAATGTAAGAAGACTGAGGAGCCACTGGCCGTCTGACCTACCGCAACCCGCAGATGACGAAGATTAAAATCATCACCACTCCTCCACAGGGCCTGTCAGAATATCATCAGTGGATGACTTCTCTACTCAAGATACCTACTTAGAACATGCACATCGTGCAAGCAGGGCACAGAAACTAAACATGAGGAGTCAAAAACGGCGCTCAAGTCTGATAAATTCACTGCTCTACTCATCTGGTTTACGTTCAGACCCTTGAACAGATTCTTGCAGGGGAAGACATCCTCTAGCGAGGAAGAATCTTCGCAACTGAATGAGAAATCAGTAAGGAACAGAGTCACTGCAATGGTAAACTCACGAGACACTCGCTTCATAATACAAAACAAATTTCACTCAAAAATTAACGTCGTAGATTTGATTACAGAGGCAATGTCAAGTGACGAGAAGACAATCCGGAGATTCTGTACACATTTCCGTAATTCATTCCTTCATTCTACATATTTCCATTTATTTCATTCATTTCATTTATTGTTCCTCTGTTGCTTTCTCGTGATATTGTTCCTACTTTATTTCCTTCATTCTTGTCTTTATATTCCATTATGAATTTATCCCTCTTTGGTACAAATATACGTGTACATACTCATGGAGCTGAGCCCTTCTTGAGGAGCCGCCAAGTCTGCAGCTACTCGAGAATTTTCCAGTATTTTATGGAACCCGAAGGTTCATTACCGTGTTCACAAGAGCGCTCCACTGGTCCCTATTCTGAGCCAGACCAATCCAATCCATATCATCCCATCCTATCTCTCTAAGATCAGTTTTAATATTGTCCACCCACCTACGCCTTGGTCTCCCCAGTCGTCTCTTTCTTTCTGGATTTCCCACCAATATCCTATTTTCCCCCATTCGTGCTACCTGTCCTATCCACCTCCTCCTCCTTCTTGACTTGATCATTCTAATTATATTTGGAGAAGAGTACAATTTATGAAGCTCCTCATTATGCAGTTTTCTCCAACCTCCTGTCACTTCATGGATACAAATATTCTCTCAGTATTTTAATCCCAAATACACAGCGTTTTTAATGATATCTCAAAAACAGATCTCTGTGAATAGTGTGTCAGTATGTACATCCTTGAACTTGGACTAAAATTAACATTTATAATGCATGACGATCGAGGCATTAAGATCTGGCGTGGAAATATTGTCTCTCATAGCGTGACTAAGTGGTTTGTTTTTGCACTTTATTATTGTTGAAATAAGCTCTCTGTGTTGCGGGCCGCGTGAAGATACATTTGAAAATTATCATGCATAAAGATACGGCAGATAGGACACCCGGTTCCGTATCAAAATGGCTCACTGATCGGTGGGTTTAGCGACCAATCAACTTCGCTAATCGTTTCCGATCATAAATCATTAAAATCCACACTTCAAGATCACAGTCAAAATACTATTAACCTAATTTTTTTATTGCTAGTGGGGTGGGACTAAGTCCCTTGTACTGCGGCCACTTCTGGCCTATTGTACCAGCCCCAGATGATAGGTGAGGGTGATTGTGGAGCAATTGGTGGAATGAAGATTGGCAGGGGAAACCGAAGTACTCGGAGAAAACCTGCCCCAGCGCCACTTTGTCCACCACAAATCCCACTTGACCAGACAAGGGATCGAACCCGGGCCGCCACGGTGGGAAGCCAGCGACTAACCGCTTGAGCTATGGCGCGGCCCTTAGCTCCATTAGTAAGTAAATAAGTAAGTATTTGAGATTTTCATTTTAAGCAACAAACATATACAAACAAACAAACACAATAAAACGACTACATAACATGGCACATAAGACAACTGTTAACTGTTATTTCGCCCACATGTTCTCGACAATGAAATTAAGGACGATAGTGTGTTCTTTAGAGTGAAAGGGTGGATAGAGAAGATGAACAGAGAGCAGTGGAAACTGGTTGTAGAGGAGGCCAAGGCTCACCCAGGGCTGTAGCGCCGAGTGGCAGGTATGAGGGTAGATAGGTAGGTAGGTAGGTAGGTAGTGTTTTAGAACTGCATGTTAAGAAATTCGATAATGCAAGAGGCGAGGAAACGAAACACAAATACTGTTTTTATTGGATGGCAGTTTGCAGCATTTAAATTGTTTTGTAATCATACATGTTATGAAACAGCACCGCATTGCGGGCACTAATGTCCACAAGAAACTGGTTATTTAAACTTCGCTAGCAGATTTATGTAAATTAAAACATCATTTGTGGGGACACCAGCCGTAAATATGGAATGTCCCAGGCACCCATGACCCGGGCTGCTGGAATTAAATATTTATCTGCATCAGATGTAGTGGTTGTATCGCCAGAGCGCGGTTATTTTGTGATTCAACAGAGGCATTTATATTTAGTACTGATTGCAAGAATCAGTGTGGCCTTGCCTCTAAGCCTTCATAGGGCTTCACACGGTACGATGCATGAGAACAGAATGAATTCACTCAGATATCATTGTCTCTTATCCGAAAAGATAGTGGACGGGGAATGTAGTACGCATGGATAAAAGTAAAGTTGTACCAGTTCTTAATTAATTAAGCACCACGACGCGAAGATACATGGGGGAGTAAAGGTATAGCTCCACCGTTTCTTATCTCAGCACTAAAACATGGGAGACATTAGAAATGCACAGTTGACAGAAGATAGGGAAGTGAAGAAGCCTTTTTGCAAGAATCATGGATTCTAAACAAATCCGGTGGGAAAGTGTGCGTTGGATTCATCTCATGAGGATGGGGTCCAGCAGCCGAATCTTGTAAACGCGGTAACTCGGCGACTGTTAGCTTCTCAACGAGCGTCCTCTTCTGGGAAGTTAATTATACTTGTATCTATTGTTAGATGTGGGTGGGAAACTTGGTCTCTCGGCCTAATGGAAGAACACAAACTGGGGCTCCTGGAACAGGATGCTGAGGAGAATATTTTGATATGAGGAGGAGGAAATAACTGGAGTTCAGAGAAAATTTCAAATCCGTAATCTTGTCGAAATATGAAGAAGGATGAGACACGCGCGACATGTAGCACGCGTGGGTGAAATGATATGAACTGTTGTATTCGGCCGCGCCATAGCTCAAGCGGTTTGTCGCTGGCTTCCCACCGCGGCGGCCCGGGTTCGATCCCGGGGTCTGGTCAAGTGGGATTTGTGGTGGAAAAAGTGGCGCTGGAGCAAGTTTTCTCCGAGTACTTCGGTTTCTCCTGCCAATCTTCATTCCACCACTTGCTCCACAATCACCCTCACCTATCATCTGGGGCTGGTACGATAGGCCAGAAGTGGCCGCAGTACAAGGGACTTAGTCCCACCCCACTAGCAATAAAAAAACTGTTGTATTCGGAAAACCTTGGGAGAAGAAACCACTTAGGAAACCTTGACAGAGATGGGAGAATAATATTGAAATAGATATTTAAGGAAGACAAACGAACTGGGATAGCTCAGTCGGTATAGCGACTGGCTACGGGTTGGACGACAGAGAGGTCGGAGTTAGGGTACCACACAATGTGTACCGGGGGTTCTTTCCTGGGGGTGAAGCGGCCGGGACCTGAAGCTGGCCACTCACCTCCGACCAGTGTCGAGGTCGAGAAAATGTGGATCTATAAATCCACTCCCCCATACGCCTTCATGGCATAGTGCTTAATCAGTCAAGCACAAGGACAACTTTACCTTTTTTACCTTATTTAAAGAAGAAGGAGGCACGCGGTAGCGTAGTTGGTTTGAGCACTATGCTATAAGCCGGAAAGTTCGCGGGATCGAATCCCGTTGAGTTGGATTTTTTCAATTTACCTAATCCTTCCAGCCGTTCTATGGCCCTGGGGTCGACTCAGCCTCTAACAGAAAGGAGTATCAGGAATATTCCTGGGGGTGAAAGGCGGCCGGCGCGTAAGGTTTTCAACCTTACCGCCATCTGTGAGCTGATTGTCTAGAGATAATATGGGAGTCTCGACGTCTCACAACCCTATGGACCTCCGCGCCCTCTTACAGGGACAGCTTTACCTTTATTTAAGGAAGAAAATTAGAAGTGGATTGGATTCATCTGCATCGAAATAGCATCAAGTGGCTATAGTTTTGAAACTTCACGTTCCAGGAGAGACAGAATATTTTACCAGCTGAGCGACTACTAGTCTTCAGGAAGGGCACTGCTCCTTGGACGACTACAAGCGCTCTGTTTTTAGTCTGAGTCAATTTAAAATTAAAAAGAAAGTGAGAATAGGGAAATCAGGAGATGCTGTGACTAGAGACAATTTTGCGGACCCTTGAACACAACAGTGACTGTCATTAATGCGTAGGGATTCTCGCTTCTATAGTGATGCTGATTAAACTATTTGACATCTGTGCTTTCTCTTCCTCAAGGCCACAGCTTAGGAAGAACATCTGACTCTAGTGAAATGCATCTCTTCTTATAGGGTTACTGCCACTGTCTTGTACACTTTCCACCACACTAAACATGGAGGGTAAAAGCAAAGTTGTCACTTGCACTTAATACTGTAATTAAGCTCTGTACCACGATAACACGTGGGGGCGTGGAGATACAGTCCCATCATTCTTCACCCCGACATACAAATGTATTGTTAAA